TTAAAACATACACAAATTTGCTTCCCAGTCTGGTTGTTTATCTTGTATATTTTAAATACTAAGATTATCGTTCCACGATTAGCAGAATCTGTTAGATCTCTAAAAGTGCAGCTTCAAAGTCAGCTGAACTCCCCACTGATGGAAGGGGTGAGGAATGCAGAACGTATGAATCATCCATAGGAAAAAATAATGCCTTGATAATGAAAGTTTACAAGAAGCAACTACTTAGCAAATATTCAAGGTTGTAATGAGTCCTGTTTGAATATATAGATAAAATTCAAAGGAGAGGAAGGTGGGGAAGGTTGAGGCAGGAACTTAAAGCCCTCTAACAGCTCGGCTTCAAAGCTCAAATTATTTACATATCTTATTAGGTGGGTTAATGCCAAAGATAGAAAAACAGGTATTCTTTCTCAGCTTTACTCCATGCACCGCAATTCTATTTCCTTTCCTCCTTCTGCTGCACTCTCCAGTCAAGAGTATGAGACCGTGTATTCATCCAAATCAGTAATTAGGCTTTAATGCCTGGTCTCAAAGCACTGTGGGAATTGCAGATGTTTTGGAGTGGATGGAATGATACGAGCCCCCTTGTTGAGCATCGTTGTCCACCTTGGAATACTAACTTTGAACTTTTTGTCTCAATTTTGGTATGTGGGCGTCGGTGTTACATGCTTCTAAATATGAAAACACAGCATACGTTTAAAAAGAAATATATATTATTCATTTCTCCTAAGGAAATACTAGAATCTTACTTTCAACTTTTAGCCACAGAGACACAGTTTCCAGTTTAAGAGGCAGGTTTTTTCACGTTGTGATTCCCCCCCACCCCGCCTCCCCTGCTGATGCCTTTTCCAATCAATAATTGGCTGTTCTGTCCTCAGCTGAGGGAGGGGTGGGGGATCGCAAATTAATTAGATGGGGTTGAATTATGATTCAGGGCCATATTTCTTGGACTGCTAAGTCTATTTTGATTAGCATAAAAGCCTAGAAACACCTAGCAGAGATTTTTTTCACCCTCTGGGATGGATTTTCAGTGTGTAAAGGAAAGTTGTAGCTGTATCAGGAGTTTCCTGTTGGTGGGTGCATAGTCGAGGTGAAAGAAATGTGAGCTAGGATCGACTTTTGGCCATCCATTGTTTATGCTGGACAGGCAGGACTGACATGGAACTATCTCTCTTTGCTTGACTTTAACCTTTCCAAGCCCTAACAGAGAAACAGGGCCTCCATGCTTTTAAAAATTACTTTAACAAAATGGGGTTTTTTGATAGTGAAATTTTTGTCTCTGTATCAACATTGCTCCTGTTAACTTTCATGGAATTAGTTTTAGGTGGGCAGTAGTCTGAGGTGGGCAAATGTAGTGAATTGCATTCACAGAGGTGGTTGTGGGGCAGTAATGTAACAAAAATGTAAGTGGATTAAGCCCTTAATGCCACTAGAGATAAGGAGATTTGTGCGTCCAGCTGTATGTGAAGATGAAATGTTGGTTAGGTTCATATGCAAAAAAAGGATTGGATTAAAAAAACAAGATGGGAGAAAGGTTTCGTGTCTTCAGCAGCATCTCTGATCAGCGCCACCTTACAGGGATCCATGTTAAACAACCTTAGCAATTGTGTAAAAGAAAGATAAACAGCATGTTAATGAAATTCACCAGGGTATTAAATATAAGACACTGCAAACATGAAAATAGTAGAGGAATGATACAGGAGACTTGAAGATGTTAGCAGAATAGATAGAAAAGCAAACTCAGCCTAACGAACATAAGTAAAAATAACCCAAATGAGGTAGGTGACACCCAGAAAACTGGGCTTAGAAAATAACCTACATGTGGTTGGAAGCAGCAGTGAACTGCATACCAGAAAGCGCTGAAGGCAGTGACTTGTCATTTGGTATTGCAACAAATAAAACACATGATTGTTGACTTTGGGGCTTAGCTCAGTAGCAGAGTGAGGAGAAGCTGTACGGTAGACAATTGCATCCGTTTAGGTCTGTGATGTTTGTGTCTAGCATGATTTTTATGCGAGGATAGTGGACTTACAAGTGAAGGAAGCTGATCACTATTTGAGTTCAAAATAAAATTTTTTCTGCATTACAGTTATTTGTTTAGCATTTAAATATGGTTTTTTTTCCCCTCTTATTATTCTTCTTATACTCCCTTTTTAAGCTTGCTTAACAGTGTGTTTAGATGGCACCTCCTGAAAATTCAGATATAATATGCAATTACAGCATATTTCACATGAATGTCTAAATGCTTGTTTGGTGAAGTTTTTGAAAATTATTTGCCTTTTTTCAATTCACTACTAAAAATGATGAGGACTTTCTTTCGAAGTCAATGAGAGTTGACACAATGGATCATAAAGATTCATTTTGAACCCCTGTACTCTGTAACAATAAAAGGGCTGCAAGGACTTTATAACTTCATTTTATTTCCTTCACTTGTTGTTCTGTCTCCTTTGGAACCATACATTTATTGTGGTCTATCATGTAAATATTGTTTGGACCATTTTTAGTGTACACGGTACCATAAAACTCTTAATTATTTATTTTGACAGCTGTTACGATAGTTATTAATATGCACTTTAAAGCCAAGAGATCTCCTGCCTGTTTTGACAGTCTGTGGTTTGGTGGTATTTGTTAAAAATTATATGATTGTTCATACAGCATTAAAAAAAAAAAAAATTCCTCTGTTCAAGAACATTAGTCAGTACTAACTCCATAGAAGTCTTTTGATGTCCAGTGTTTTCCATAATTGCCCATTAAAGAGTTCCTTGCATCAGCATCATGGAAAGCACATGCAAACGAAGAGGAGCGTTGTTCTGGGTGGATATGCCAGGTCCTTTAATCTGAGCTCTGGACTCAAAATCAGCAGAGTAATCAATGGGATTAGAAAGGGGAATGTGTCTTAAGGCCAAGCTAGATGAAGGAGGAGTGTCTCTGCCTGAGGAGTACGTGGTACTGGACTTGTATTTCCCAAACATCATAATCCATTTCACAGCCAGGCAACATTCAGCTTCCTTTATTTGCAGGCTTTACGGTTTCCATTGTAGTCTTTGAACTGTAATAGGCCTTACAGTGTTGTGTAATGTTAATGTGTTTTCCCTGGGCAAACGTGATAGTGGTGCTTTAAACATGATGCTTTAATAACTAGATGTGGGAGTATGAGGCTTTGTCTTTGTTAACATGAAGTGAGTGACACAACAGGATGGATCTGGAGGGATGAAATAGATAATGGTCCCAATGTCTAGGCTATGTTTGCTGCAAGGGATTTTTCTTTGGGTTAGCTCTAGTTTGATCCTGTGGACCTTAATGCCAGTTAGAGGTTGGAGCTCATTAGGTGCACTCCAGAAACATATCTTCTGGTTGGTATCTGAAATGAATCCAGGTTGTGTGCTTTGAGACCTCTCTGAACCAAACTGCAGTGACAAGTGAGAGTTAGGACAGTTTAGAGATGGGCTTCAAAACGGTACGCAGTGGTAATGTAGACACACCTTAATATATCAAACCAGGTTAGATGGCCCTGCTTCCCACTGCTCAGTTTTGTGGTAGGACATAAAAAGAAGAATAAAGGGTCAGATAAATCAATTTACTGTTTCTGTGGGAGACTCCTTTAAATTTTCAATAGCTGTGTGGTACATTTTTATTAGTAGGCCATAATGTATCTTTCATCATCATTCAGACATAACTGAGGAAGGCTGTTAAAGCATAGCAGTGATATTTCCACAATCTTGACAATAGTTAACCTTCTTCCTGTAGTTACCAGGCAGTGGTTTGGCGTCATTTATACTCTGCAGTTGCCATGCTGTCTCTTTTTACCCACCTTTTCAGCTGCTGTCCAGCCATTGTTGGAGGGATGTTAAATGCTGTGAGTGTGTTTATGCTAGTAAGTTGTTGGTATTCTATGAAAATGCTTAATTTAAGGTTTTGGTTTGGAGGCTGCTACCCACCCTTTAGGGACGGAGCGGGGAGAGAGAGAAAGAAAACTGAGTCAGAGCACCTATCACTTTGACTTTTTCTTCGGAAGGAGCCTGCTTCTTTCCACTGACTCTGTAGGCGATCTCCAAATGCGGGCACCTAAGTCAAACAGAGTGACTCTCTGAGACAGTCTTTTTTTTGTGCTTGTGTAGTATCTACCGTGATGCCAGCCTACTATATCTTATCACTATGGAAAAACAAATTAGTAATTGTAGCTCATGCTGCTCAAGATCCTGGAAAGCTGAAAGGAGTTATAGGAGTAGTGGGGGGACAACAGGTCTTGTGCAGAAGCTGAGCCTCGCTTGGCATTGTTCACAGGAGGTTATTTGGCTCCAACACACCAGTCTTTTGGTCTGGGATTTGGCTGTGCTGAAAAGCCACAGCAAAACCAGATGGGTGCAACCATAACCCCTGACCAAAATGTTTGTGTGTAATAGTAATGAACCAGGAGCTCCAAGAGGGTGCATGGTTCTAGTCATGAATTACATTGTTCATATATAAATATCCTCCACTTGAGGAAGGTGTATGAGTATGATGTCTCTAGATTTGTCTATGAAACACCCTGTTTGAAGTTGCCTCTCATTTCCTCCATACTCAGGAGGGCACATCATATTGGTAGCTTGGGAGTTTTTCATTACTTTGTTTTCCCCTAAATGCACAAGCCAAGAGTTAATCTAGATGGAGCCAAAGAGTAAGCATAGTTAAAGCTCTTGCAGGAAAACGGCAGATACCTGTATCCTCATTTTGCCATTGCAGATTTGCGTTTGCCATCAAAATGCATGTTGTATCTCCTTGTCCACACAACTCCTCACATATGCATGGTGGTTTGAAAAAAGTAGAATTGGTATATTGATTAGAAACAAGAAAAGTCATACCATATGTTAATGTGTTTCCCCTGACTTCCCATTTGGACTGCCTTAGAAATTCTGGTCGTAAGACAGTTAATAAACTTTCCAAGTGATTGTGTTTTAGGTACCCAACCGTTCTTTGATCTCACTCTACCTAAAAATAAAGTCTCTGATTCTGATTGCTAGAACCCCTCTGATTGCTGCGGGAGTTATTGGTGGCCTCTTCATCATCGTCATTGTGGGCCTGACATTTGCCGTGTATGTTCGGCGCAAAAGCATTAAAAAGAAGAGAGCATTGCGAAGATTCCTGGAGACTGAGGTGAGAGCGTGCTTCTCACAGAATATTTGAAAAGATGTGCAGAGCTGTTCTGCTTTTATATTAAAGTTGTTCAGGTCTTCAATCCAGTTACCAGAGAGGTCTGTAGAAATCCTTTTGTTAACTTCTGCAGGACTGAACTGATGGAATGAATGAAGCTATTTCAAGATAATAATTTTCTGTACATATATAGATTCGTGGCTTTTGAAGACCAAAAAAGATCCACATGATCACGAAGTCATGTTCCACCAGATTTTTGAACTCACATCCTGCTCTCAACTGAACTTCTATCCCAGTTCATCAGTACATTTGGCAGCTCTCATGCTTAAATATTACAGGTTTTCATCCAGTGCATACTTCAGTCTTAAAAGTTGACTTCAGTAAGTTCAGCAAGCTCTGATGCAAACTTAAGCTCATCAGGAATGCTTAAATGCAGAGATTGTCACTTACTGCTGTTCCCAGTGCCTGTATTGCCTTTGTGGTCCATATTTTGTCAAGGTCTGTAGTCATGATCAGTAATAATGATGTATTTTATTAAGCCAAGATACTTCCCAGAGCTTAACCAAATGAGGTTCACAGTTCTACTGGCAAAAATATGTAGCGGAGCTATAGGACAGAGTGCTGTGCCCACTCCATCCTGCTCTTTGAAATGCCAGTGGTGGAGGGGGCAATCTAGGAAGTATATTTAAACATAACATTAAATATTTATCTGTCAGCTACAGCAAAGGTGATTACTACCATCTCCTCAGTCCTATGCTTGACACACTTTGCAAGTGATATTTTTAAATTAGGGTCCCCCTTGTAAGGTAATAAAGCTTGGGAATATCATTAGCTAGTGATTCTTTGACAATGCTGTTTTCTGTTCTGTTCCGAGGGTCCTGCTCCCACTCATCTCTACTGTAGAGCCTGGGAGCAAATGATACATGCATCCCCAGTCTGTTTGCCTAAGTATCTTTATGCTTGGCTAGAATTTGTGTTGCTTCTTAAATACTGTGCAGTTGTATAGAAAGCTTAACAATACTTGGTGCCTTTAGATATGTAAATCTTGCCATTGTATCAGCCCCTACTTAAGCATAAGTGATTTTAAGCAGGTAGTTTTCATTGGATTTGAGAAGTATTGACTTTGAAGTCCAGCTCTCATTCTACATTTGGTCAGGTAGAAGCTGTGGCTGAGGGACCAAGGTCTCCTACTGAACATGTGGGGAAGGTGTTGTCTTGGCTTAGATACTGAAGATTAAATCAGGAGCATCCTGAGATAAACACACAAGTGACTGGCTTCAGCTGAAGTTTCTATTTCTAGCTGGAAGCTGTAGCAGACCTATTCTTTCTGTAGATCATTCTCAGTAAAACTCTACAAGCATTTTTTGAGGCCCACAACACTTCTCCCTGCCATACCTGTGTTGGTGGACTGTGGCACAGAAGCTGTTTTCACCCTTCACAAACTGAAAATACAGAAATGTACCACTAGTCTGTCTACTTTTCTTTTACAGTAAACCTTCTGTCTTTCACCGTGTAAGTACTGGACATCTAAAGTGGGAAGGAGGAAAAAGAAATCACTCTAAAAAAAGTACAGCTCACAAATTATTTCTGTGATAGCCTGACTTGTTGCTGTTTGGTTTTGTTATGTTTTCTTACTCTAATAATTTGCAGATACTGGTATTTTTTACCTGAACCAAAGTAGTCTGGTCAACTAATTTAGTTCATGATGCTCAAAGAGCCATAGAAGTAGTTCCCAAACTGCAGAGCATCATGCATTTAGCCTTGTAAACAGACAACTTTGAAATACTGCAGTGGTTTCAAAGCACTTTGAGTAGGAGCAGCCCTGAATTATTTTCCTCAACCTGTAAAGGAACAGACTATTTTTCATTGTTTAGAGTATTGTCCTTTTCATGTATTTTTAATTTATTTTTAAAGAAGCATTGTTTTTTCTGGCAGAGACAGTATAACGTTGAGATCTGAGAGCATTTTTAACTGAATGTGCCATTGTGGCTCATTTACAAAGTTTCTTGGGACATCTTGAGCAAATTGTTTAATTGTACCTTTTTTGCAGTAAATTAGTGGCTGTTATAAATCAGTGGTCTGCTATAAGATGTTTTCTCCTTAAAGCTGTCCTCCTGTGTGGTATAACAGAAGTTCAGAAAAATAGTCCCTTCCCCAAAACAGAATAAGAATGTGATGAGCCATTAAGTCAGGGCTATTAAAAAGAAATATGGTCAACTTAAAGGCACTAAAATGGGCAAAAATAGAATGTGATGCACTGATAATAAATGCTGTATTTCTGTCATGTAGAAAATATTTATACTGCCTCCATTAGCAAAAGTCCTTGGGTGTGTTACTGTGACACTGATTCAGTTTCCAGTTCGTAATTCCATCATGCAATTCCTGGTGGAAATTACTACATGCTGAGTGAGGATTTTCTTTATTAGATCTCTTGGTTTCTTAGCATTGCTCATTTGCTTTTGAAGGCGAGAAATCTCTCCACAAGTTGGCAGGTCAATGGTCAATAGACCCCACCACTGTCTTATTCCAGTATTTAGTTGGATTGGTTGTTTTCAATATAAACTTCTGAAGGGTCTTCACATTTTCAAGTATTTAAGACTTGGATTTTCCTTCATAGCTTGTGGAACCCTTGACTCCAAGTGGCACAGCACCCAACCAAGCACAGCTTCGTATCCTGAAGGAAACTGAGCTGAAGAGAGTCAAGGTTCTTGGCTCTGGAGCCTTTGGAACCGTATACAAGGTAAGAGTCTTCAATACACAGCAGTGAGTTCCCTCGTTTAACTTTTGAACAGTCAAGTTCTGCATTGCAACAAAGCATCCCGTACCATGGATGGGTTCATGAGCCCTACATGTCTGGGAAGCACATAGGATACTGGAATTGTGTGGGAGGAGCACATCTTCAGGCTCAAACATTAACTTCAGTTTTCATCAGACATGCAGATACTATTTCTTGGTGAGAAAAGGAGTGTCAGCCACAGGCATCCTTGCACACAGGAGGATTGCACAAGCCAGGCTGTCTTGATATTGAAATGCAGTGTCAAAGTTTGTCACTCTGTTCTTACATAATGGCTTTACAGTATGCTTTTGGAAAGCTAGATAAACTGTGTCTCTCATTTCGCAAGTGTCACATGGGTCTTGTAATCGTCATCATACCTTGTAAAACAATGTTGTCATTAGCTAAACCATAATACTTTTTGTTTCTTCCATTTAAATAGAAAAGATGAGTTATGTCAATGCACCCTTTAACAACCAGGATGTAAGAGCAGAACTCAAAAGGGAAAAAATACTTCAGTTAAAGATTTTTTTTTTTTTTTTTTTTTTTTTTTAAAGATCTGTTGGTCATGTCCAAATCTCAAAGGCACGAAGTAGGGCTTAATGAGCAAGTCAAACCAGTCACCTGACCCTTTGGGAGCAACGCAAACCTGCCAAATCGAGGTGTAGGTCAGAGCAGTGGAGGAGGACAGATACTGCATCTGTCTTCAAATTGGGGAGGAAATGGAGGAAGTACAGACCAGGTCACTACATCTACAAGGTCATGGGAATAAATTTTTGAATAATCAGTTTGAATATACTTGGACAATAATAAGGTGATAGAGAAGGGTACCATGAGGTTGCCAAGAACACAGCAATAGTCAAGAAGGATGGAAAAGTATCCCAAGAGACACACAGTTTGTGAATTTTAAATGTAAAGTTTACTTTTTAGCCATCTCAGCTTTAAATTCTCAGGTATCAATTAATAAGTAGTTTTGTGGAATTTTTATTATTTTATAACTCTGAGTATTCTCAGTTCTGAGGTTCGTAACTGAACTGCATAATGTGACAAAATGCATCAGAAAGAACTGTAACTCTGAATGAAGTTTCTATGATTGTTGTCTTATGTCACTTTTTTTTAAATCTTTCTAGGGCATTTGGGTCCCCGAGGGAGAAACTGTAAAGATTCCTGTGGCCATTAAGATCCTTAATGAGACCACTGGTCCCAAAGCCAATGTGGAGTTTATGGATGTAAGTAAGAGATGATCAGCATCTCTGAGTCTTGGGGAGGGGGTGTCTTTCTGTAGTCCACAGAGATTGTAAAGAGAAGTTTCTGCCAGTTTTCTTTCCTTATATTTAAATAGTAGAAGGAGGCTTGTACATAGGACTGAAATTCTGCTGATGTTCAGCGAGTGCTACAATATCACGTCCCTAGAAAAATTCAGCTGCTGAGATTTTGTGTGTAAGCCATTTCCCTCCTTCCCTTAGTCTTTGACAAGCTGTCTCAGTGTTAATGCATATCTATAGCATTCTCTACTGCAGCAATGTTCAAACAAACAAACAAAACCAACCAGCCAAAAAAAACCAAACAAGGTTACATATCAGCTGCGAGTAGGTCAGTGCTGCTTCTCTGAAGCTGTAGAGCTAGGTGGATCTGTGTGAAGCAATGCTCTACCCTGTTTAGTTTATTGCATGTAGATCATTCCATTCCAGAACCGTAAGTACCTGTGCTACCAGGGTAGTGTTAGTGCCATGGTAATGGAGGGCTGGGTTCTTCCGCTGTGCAAATATCACGGACCCTAAGATGCTTGGAGTTTTCTTATAAATGATCTTCCCATCAGTTGAAGGCTGAAACTCCTCTGTCTCATGTGCCACATATTTTATCTTTCCATGGCAGAGAAGCTAGAGACAAGAGAGAGAAGGAGTTGCAGGGGAGCATCTTACCATGCGTGCAAGTCCTCTCTGGTGCAGAATTCACAAGAACAGAAATTTAGCCTCAGCTCTCTTCTGCTTCCATGTTTCTGAGAACTAAGCACTGAGAGTCTGGGAGCTGTCAGCAGCAGCAAAGCATAACAGGGAGGGGAAAGAAAATTCAAGTGCACTGGATTTTAAAAGCCCTTTTGCTTTACTCATCTGAAATATTGTTAATAAGAGGTCAAGATCATAATTTTCATGAATGTTCTATGTTCACAGAGACTATGCACTCAGTTTTTAGCTCCGTGTCAAGATCAAGCCTCATTGACATTGTGAATGTGTATGTCCTATTCAGTGACAATTTTTTGACAAATCATAGAAATTTGCACTTCTTTGTAAATCCCTCTTGTGGACTTGAAAATTACATAGGACTTTTAAGCCTTGAAGATCTGTTCAGAGTATAGGCTTAATTTGGTTAGTATTAATGAGACTGTAAACCACAAGGAGAATGTACTCCCGTTATATAGTCTATTCTTCCATCTAGAAATGAATAGAAATGTACAGTTATGGATTTAGCTGCTTCAGACAAATTATCATATGTGAGTTCTTAGGCAATTAAATGAAGGCTGTATAGATGAAGGGATTTCCTGTGCTTTTTACAGAGCACTGCACATTTATGTTGATGACATTCAATAATCATTATGCACAAATAAAAGAAAAAAAAAAAGGCTGTTTTGGCCCTGTTCAAAAGGAATGAATTGCACTAAAGGGATAAAGATTTTTAGATGTTTGCTTAATGGACAAAATAATGGTCAAGATTATTGTTAATGGTAGAGCTCCAGAAAGAGCAGAGCTGGTATTCAGTGCCCTTTTGAGGTGAACGTGCAGGGAGTGCAAGGCCGCTGAATGCGACCTGAGCTCCACGTCTGATGTCGGCAGTCAGTGATGTAGATGAGAGAATTGTTATCACTGTTTGAAAGTCAGTGGAACTGAGTACCTTGCACCAGCTGAGGATCTGACCCATTATCTGGTAGAGAAATAATAATAATATCTCCTTCTTTGATATTCCTAGAATCATAGAATAGTTTGGGTTGGAAGGGACCTCTAAAGGTCATCTAGTCCAACCCCCCTGCCGTGGGCAGGGACATCTTCAACTACATCAGGTTGCTCAGAGCCCTGTCGAACCTGACCTTGAATGTTTCCAGGGATGGGGCATCCACCACCTCTCTG